CACAGCAGCTTCACTGTGTGATTTCACTTTGGTGAAAACGTCTGCTGTGATGTCAGATTCCTCTTCAACTCCTCTACCTTCTGTAGCTTCTGCTCTTCATTCACGTTTTTCAGCTTGTCCTGATGTTTTGTCTCGTAGTGCCGTCTTAGGTTATATTCCTTAATTACAGCCACATTAGCTCCACAAATAAGACACACGGGTTTATGTCAGTAAACATATACTCAGCCTCCCACCGGTTTAGAAAGGCTCTGTTTTCAGAATCAACTTTTCTCTTGGCCATTGTTAGGGGCTAGCTTTGACTTGAAATTAGGGTTGTATACATCAACAGACGCTTGATTGATCTGACGTAATTGACGTGGGAATGATCGCAGGTAGCGTACGTTCGGTAAGGCAGCTGTTGCGCTGCATTATGGGATTTGTAGTTTGTGTGTTATCGGCGCTTCTTATCGCCGGGCCATTAAAAAAAGATGTACAAAATGTTCTCGCGAGCCGGATGTGGCCCACGGGCCTTGAGTTTGACACATGTGGTATATTGGGTACTTTCACTATCAAGTGGGCGGAGCGAGAAACCATTTTTGTGATGTCTCTCCGCCTTCAGACTTCTTCACCTGCTGGCTCATTTTTCATCAGTTAGCCCACACACACAGTGGCAGATCTAGAAAATGTCGGGCTGGGGCACAGACTCAGAGAGGGTGGCACATTGAAAATGCATGTTAAAAAGTCAATTACACCCCTAGTTCTGTGAAATGATAAACCATACATTCTTAATCAAATTGTTTTATTTTGTGTAAACATGATATACAGAGTGCTTTCTTTAGCTAACTTTGGCTGCACTCTTTATTTACTCCCAGCCAGGAACATGGTTGTCACCACCACCTTGGTTTAACCCATGCCAACATATCCATGCTTTGTAGTTTTGCTACAAAGGCAGAGCTGTCTAGGGGCTCAGCTCATCACGTCACCTGTGACCTGCTGCTCTCTTACCAGGCACACCGCAGGTGCCTGGTGGCATACATGGCCACTGCTCTGCTCGATGTCTAGAGATCCTGTATCTGTTACTGTGGCTGCACAATTATAATGTGTGATGGAATTAACATTGTCACTCCAAAGAAACAAGGCCACCAACTCAAAAAACAGTCTATGAATATGTGATGTCAGTATTTATAAGCATGCTTCTTTATGTTGCGGGCAGCTTGCCTCTGAAGACCTGTGGTGTTGCCAGGAGTCGCTCTTGTCATTTCTCATATAAAAATGGTGACCTGACCTGCTTGGAGTCGCATGTATGACCAAGAGTGGTGACATGTGATTGAAAGTGATCTGTATTAGAATACTGTACTGAGTTGATGACTACCGGTTTGACAAATTGAACACAGTGTCTTCTGTTTCCCCCAGATTTTAGGTTTGTATTTCATTCATTGTTTCCAGTTATAATTGTTCAGTTGCATTTTTTTCCTAATCTTATGCTTTTATAATATGCTAAGGGAAATGGAACAAAGCAGAAAAAATAGCTGCTGCAAGCAGAAAAATTACTCCCTAGGAGGTTTAGTCCTGAAACCAATGTGAGTAATTTTAACATTACTTTATCTGACTTTTTTTTTTTTTTCTTCACAGTGCCTCTGGAACCAATGTTGTTGCCATAGATAATAAAATTGAACAGGCTATGGTGAGTAATAAATTTTTCATGAATCACATGCTTCCGAGTTGGATTTTGTCTCTTTAAAATGTCACTGTTAAGCAGAAACAGAATATATATGGACACACTCTGTGGTCTTGTGTACTACATATTGGCTCAGGTCATTTGGGTTGACCTTTATTTTACATTCTCTGAAGTAGGCACACCCCGTTCTGTCTGCCTTGACATATCTTTATGTTTACACACACTGAATACACAGCCTGAGTGAATACATGAGCAGCTGCAGCCTTGAGCTTCACTCTGATGTCCTTTTTTGCTGCATGTTGGAGCATATTGAATCAGTCTCTCCATGACTGCTGCCTCTCGTCAGGTCTTGCGCATTTTTGACCCAATGGCATGTTTTATGTCCTCACCTGCAGGACCTGGTGAAAAGCCATCTGATGTATGCAGTGCGGGAAGAGGTAGAGGTCTTAAAGGAGCAGATCAAGGAGTTGATTGAGAGGAACTCAGTGCTGGAGAGGGAGAACGCCGTGTTGAAATCTCTGGCCAACAGCGAGCAGCTGTCCCAGCTGTCCACCCAGTCGGCCGTCGGCTCTGGCGCCACACCTCCCCAGCAAGGACTTAGCCAGCCTCAGCAACAGACCCAGCCTCCGCTTCAAGTTCAGCCTCAGTCGCAGTCACACCCACAGCTCCAGCACCTCCCCAAACCCCAGCAGCTCCAGACTCAGCCTCAGCTTGAGCCTGGCCAACAACAACTGCAACCCAATGTCACGTCCGCTTGAAGTGCATCTTGCCTGAAAAAAATAAAGAGCATCTCTTCTACCACTTACTACAGTTAGTGTATGTGAAATCAAAAAGAAGAAAAAAAAAACTGTCTTCTTAGCCACCAGCTTGACCACAAAGTACAGTGTTTGTGTGTGTGTGCGTGCGAATGTGTCAGGGTGAGTTAGGTAGTGTGATGAATTGGTATTTGAATGTAAGTGTGTATGTGTCTGTACTGTGGGCCTTTCCAGTGTTAATGCAATCATTGAGAGACAGACAGAAAGACTGAAAGAGAGAAAGTGTGTTTAGAGACAGTATCAGGGAATGTCCGGGTGCTTTGTCCCCCCACATCTTGGCTGAGTTCCCAGATTGGTTCACTTGCTGGGTCCAAGCTTGTGGAGAGGATGTCTTTTTTTTTTTCCTCCTTGGACCAGGTGGGAGACAGACCGGCCTGTGACCTGACATGAATCTGCTCAGACTGTGGGGGTGGAGAGGGAGGGGTTCCCCTCCCGTATAGGACAAGGGAGACTTGCTTGCCAAAAAGAGTGATTGTTTTTTTTTTTTTTAATGACATAATTGAATGGGTAAAGGGTTACTTTAGCTTTGTTTCATGATTTGAAGTAAGAAGTTGGAGGGAGTGTGTTCTATGAAGCGCCACGCCGCTGCCATTATATTTACATCGAGTCCAACCCTTGTATTGGTCTGAGTTCTACTGTTAAGTGTTTATTTATTACAGGGCTGCTATTTTCATGAATGAATAATTTCATTAAATCGGTTCAACAGTAGCCAATAGACAAGCTTCCTCATTTCTCTTCAGTGTTTCAACAGATTGACCACCCTCGCCAGGGCGAAGCTTTGTATTTGTTAATGTGGGTAAAAAGAAATCCTGATAACTGTTTAACACTAACTCAAATTTTACATGGCAGTTGCTACTTCATGGCTGGTTAAGATCCAGCATGAATGTACATTTTTGTATAGTATAAAGTATTAAGAGCCTGTGCACATCAAATATGAACATGAACCTGCACAAGGCAGTTGGAGATTGAATCCTGTTGGTAATCTAAAGGTGAATTAGTACTGCCACACCCCTCCTTACTTTTTTAGTTTTCCACTGTTTTTCTGGGGGGCAGGGGAAAAGCTGTGAAATTATCAATCTACTTTGTAACCAAAGATGCAAAGCTGTGTAAATCAATTATTTTTTAAATGCACACATTTTTTTACTTCCTCCACAGAAATTTTGTTGCTGTTCAGCATGTTCTGCATGATCTTTAGTCTTCAAACCACTTTCTTACCTCATTTTTATTCAGCACTCTTATTGTAAGATAGTCTGTGAACAGTGTAAATGGGTAAAATGATGCCACGCAGAGAGAAATAACCTAGTGTTACTGACATTAGTCAGAAAAATGAAGTGAGCCATGTTTTGTTCATTTAAATGTTTGAGTTTCATATGCCAATAGTTTTGTTACATTGCAAATTTTAATGTATTTAAATAAAAGCAATATTCAGATTCCAAAATGCTAACTTCTTGTTAGTTTTTCATACCAGATGGAAAATAGCTTCAATGTGCTGTTGATGAAATACCGATTTGATTTTGGCCTCTATCATTCATAAGCCTAACACCAGGCAACAACATCAGGATGCAGAGCCAAGGATACAAAAAAAAAAAAAAAAAAAAGGCACAACAACCAGGCAGGCGATGCTACTTGATTACAGGAGAAGATGGAGAACCAGAACAAGTTCAGCACTGTGCTACAGATGTGACAAGTGTACCAAACCTGTAACTAGAAGCTCATTTATTTGAAGAAACATTACAAAACAATTTTCAAAAAAGTCCAAAAAAGTTGGAGAACAAACAAGCCACCTCAAGTAAACATACAGCAGCCCTCTCTGAAAAGAAATACTGCCAGTGGTATCAACAGTTCCCAGTCCAACAGGGGGAAAAAAAGCTCTTTCCTTCCCAGTATGGAGCAGCCACAGTACAAACAGCTGAGTACAATGACACAAACAATGAATGGGATCTTATTTTAAACAAACATCTCCACTGACACTTGTGTTCGCACAGCTGTGCATCTTTGTACTCGTTTGCCACATGGTTGCCCTCGCTGCCTTCAGTCAAGTCGGTTAGAGGGTCACCGCTCTCCCAGTCAGAAGGGTGGGGTTTACTGTGCAGGTCTGTGCCAGACAAGGGGGCTCTACAGTATCACTTGTCATTGTCTCATCACTGTTGGCTAGCCCACGGTAACAAACCGGCCACCCTTACTGCTTTGTGCTGTGGCTGCGCGCCGGTCTTTCAGGATGCGGAATCGCTCATTCAAGGTCATCGATGTTTGCCAGGGAAAGAAAGGACGACATGTTAACACACGTTGGGGGGGGATATTTGGAATTACAATTGTCCTACACCCGTGTACTAAGCCACACAGAAACCTGAAGTAGCACACACTCACTGGTTTCCCAACACTGTTAATGTCAAACTCTAGAGGCACTCCTTTTGGTATTTTCTTCTCTGCCATTTCGTCTTTGATAGGAACAGAGCGGACAGCTGGGGGATGCAGGGTCCATGCAGTGGGAGGCCTGTGAACAAATCAAACTGTTCTTATCTGGAGGTGTATTATACAATTCCACTCATCTATCACAAACATGCTGTGTTAGTATGAATACAAATGTGTTAATTGAAATCATGATTGCCTAAATGATGTCTGCAGCCTGTGTAAAAGGATTCTGCAAGGTTTCTGTTGAGTGATGCTTACTCAGGCTGAGTCCTAGCTGTGGGGTTGTCAATTGAAACGGTCAAGATTCCATTGCTGGCTGTCGATGTGTGCCACCTAATGGACAAGCAGACCACACTGTATCCCATCACACACAAACAACAGATGGCAAACAATGGTCTTTTCCCTCCAAATGATTCACATCCTCAAAATGGTTTCCTCTTTCTCACACATGCATATCCAACAGAGGCTTGTAATGCACATAACAGAGGTGATACAGGTTTTAAAAATACAGTTCAACTACAGCTAAATGGACACTGGGGTTTAAGAACACTCACTGGCGCGTTCTGACCGGAGGAGATCGAGGATTTGGCTTTTGCACCTGGGCTTGAACCTGTGAAAGGGGCGAAGAATGAGACGGTCTGTTGACTGAAATAGATAACTTAAAAATCACAGATAAGGTGGTTGCACTACATGTGCACAGAAAAATTCACAATACTTTCACAATAATGTACAAATACATTTAATAACAGTCTGTAAATCTATACATAATGTACCTTGAGTCCCCTCCGAAAAAGAAATGTGGCTTGGCGTGCTTCCCTCTGGGTCTGCTGGACAGGCGGCAGCGGCCTGCGGGAACACAAACGGCACCGAGATGCAGCTGTGTGATCAGCATATGTCTATCAGAGGCTACATTCACATAACATAGCCTATGATGCTCAAGTTTTTTTTTTCCAACACATCCAATACATCTGTGTTGATGCATCACATTCATGTTTGTGACATGTATGGTGTGAACACTGTTGAGATCCTAAACTGCCACGTGTGCACAGATTTCAATGAAATGTGAACAAGAATTAGGTCATTTGTGCAATGGTCTAATGAAATAATTTCCTCAAACACAGCTCAGTTGAGACAAGTTCCTTCAGGAGCTTTTCCACAAATGGGTAATGTCCTCGTCTTTCCACTGGCCCGGCCCGTTGCTCTCGTTCCATGTTTATTTTTACTGGTCTGAGGCGCCGACAATGAATGATGACAGGCAATTTGCACATGTGCAGAAGAGTGAGGCATTAAAAAACATGCACTGAATTCCAATCTGATCCTTCTGATAAACAGGATTGGTTCAGTATACCAGGGTATGAAAATTGATGGTTATCATACCACGCACATTTCTTTATTACCAGTCTTGAAGAAAAAAAAAGTGTGTGCACCTTTCTTCCCGATGCCTATCAGACCCCATGACAGGCGCCACATGCACACATGGAGCGGACAAATGGCAGCAAGAAGGAGCCCATCACCAAACTCCCTCCACCAAAAATAGAAATTAAGATCAGCAGCACAGGATCACTTTGGATATCTTGAAAAGGAACACCTTAGAGAACACCATGCCTCCACATGGATCAATGTGTCCTGTTTATAACTTTAAGCCCAAACAATAGAAGTTGAGTACAAACGTCAGTTTCCACATTGTCTGTTCATTCGCTAAACTCTGACTTACAACAGGATTTGCACTGACCCCAGAAACACACACACACGCACACAGAATTTACCTGCTCACATAAGTGTGTGTGCATAAGTGAAGGTGCAGGCAGGATCTGTCTGGCTGCACTCTCATGCGGCTACAATAAATTAACTATTCTGATAATCATTCAGAGCATTGTGGCGGCATTTCTCGCTATTGTCACAAAATTTACAAATCAGACAATCAATTAACGGAGAAAATAATCAGCAGATTATTCAGTAATGCAAATAATCAATAGTTGCACTTTGATACAAAATAGTTCAGCAGAGCTCCACCTCAACTAACTACAATAGTCAAGTCCTGCTTTTACATCAGTGTGAGAGGTTGTTAATGTAATGATATCATATACAGTATCATCAGTGTGAGAGGTTAATGTAATGATATCATATACAGTATAGTTTAACATTTTTCTGCACTGAGTAGCCTACTAATACTTTAAATATATTTTTGTGTTAATACTTTTACTTATTATTAATGCAGGACTGTTTGTGTTTTTTGTAACAGACTAGGCTACCAATACAGTGTGATATTAGTATGTTTACATAGGTAAAGGATGTTAATGATTCCACTAACATGCTTTAGTTATATAACAGCAGCCTGCCTTTGGGTTCTTCCTCCACTCTCACAATTCTCCTTGTAACCACAGAGAACTACATCTTAGCACAGGGTGTTCTCACCGTCGTCGCAGATGAAAGGGTCTCCTGACCGGTGTCGCATTCTGGCTGCGGTGTGGATCGGGCTGCCTGTATGGCCACCTCTCAACCTCCAGCTTCCTATACTGAGCTTCAGTGCGCTGAATGAAGGGTCTGGTTTTCTGTCTTGTTCTCTGTGGAGGTGCAGCAAAAGAGAGATACAGAATGCATGTTCCCTGAGGTCCACAAATGCAGCACTTCTGAATGTTCAAGCGTGGACTTTCAAAAGCAGAGAAGATTGTGCATGTGCAGTCAGAGCTGGTGGAATACTGAACAGTTTGCCTAAAGAAATCAGGCTGGCTGAATTGGTCTCATACTTTAAATGCATTTAAAACATGTTTTTACACAGTGGCCTTCCTGCGATCTTTTACCATATTCTAAATGAATATTTACTCTTGTTTTTGTTGTTAAGTACTTTGTAAACCGGTAAAGTTTTAAAAGGTGCTTTGTTTATCATTAATACACATACATATAGTGATGATTCAACATTGAGTAAATATTTCCATTTATCAGTAGCAGTTTATGATCCCATCCCACAAAAACACCTGGGTTTAGTGCCTCTGTTGTCAGCCAACCAGTACATTGTAGGCCATTATCAGAGGTTCCAAGCGGGGCCTATGATTGAAGGCTGGGTGTGCTCTGCCCTGCGTCCTCCATTACCTGGCTGACTGCTGCTCTGCTGAGCGTGCCCACGCGCTTGAGCAGGGCAGCTGGCCTCCTGGCTGCCAGTCCTGTGATAACCCCTTGACCCCGTCGTCGACCCGGGAGGTAAGGGACCTTCCTGTTTCTTAATTTAGCTGCTCCTCCACGAACAACTCCACCTCCGGGCAAAGACATTTTTAGTTACATTACACATCTACAGAGCTGTTTAGACAGGTGGAGCAATCACCAACAAAGAAAGCGTTAGCACACACCTCTCTGGACTGGTCCTGTGGTCCTCGGTGAAACTCCTTTTCCTTGGACTAAACGGCCTTTCTTCTTAAATGGTCGGTGGTTCGCAGTGGCCTGTCTCCTTTTTAGTTGTTGCTCTTTTTTGTTCAACCGAATGATGTCATCTGTTAAAATGTGTTACACGAGCAATAAGAAACAAGGACGTCTGAATTCAAAAGATTTGTTTCGCTAACCTTAACTTAGCCAGTTAGCCTCTGACAAGCTCCCACAGTAACTTAGCTTATGAGGCCCTTACCTAATGACATGTCGACTTTATCGGGAACCGCCGGACTTCTCCGTGTACCAGCTGTAAAATCAACCTGGTTCATACTTTAAAACCACACAATCCCAAGTGCAAAGACTAATACAAAACTGGTTGGCACCTACGCTAGCTGCTCGTCCCTTTTGAAGCTGCGCTACAACAGACCAGACGTGAACCCTCATCCAAACGTAAACGGCGCCGCGCACGCCCAGTAAATACGTTGCAATGGCATTGTGGGAAATGTAGGTAAATCCAGCAAAACACACTGTTACAAAACGTAAATACCAGCGCGATCATGTAACTGGTTCTATACGGAAACACGATACACGTTGAAGTGTTTTTCTGCCTCGGCTTCTGTTAACTACAGTTGTTTCGTGTCTCGTTTTTTACGATTAGCTTCAGATCTCCTTCCCCAGCTGAGCTGAGTCAATCTTACTCCAAGTTTTATTCATTCACTGTATGTTTCTTTGCATCTCGAGGAGGTAAGGTAGGCCTATATCTACAAAGCGACGACCGTGTGAGTTAGGAGTGTCTCTAGCATCGTTGTGCTATTTTTTGTCTGGCGTGCTTTTCTTAATGTTTTCCGGTCTCATCTTTGTCGTTTCTGTATTTGTTTTGCACGGGCGCGCGTGTTATCTTAAGTTTACCATTTAACTGTGGTTGTTTCCCGCAGCTTATCCTTCTCCTCTGCTCCGAAGCGTTTCGTGGAGCTCGTTGTCCCCAGTCACCAGAGGCCCATCCCAGCACTCTTCTTCTTGAACAAGTTATTCACCAGTGAAACCATCATGCCAAACCAAAAACGCAAGGCAACACCTGCTGCTGCTGCTGCTGCCACCAGCGAAGGGTCCAGCACCAAGCGGCAGAAGTTGGCCACCACGAAGAGAGACGAGGGCTGGCTGCAGGACCTTGTGAAGCAGCAGAGGTCAGAGAACAAGGAGCTGAAGTTCAATCTGAAGCGCGTCCGTTTTATATCAGACACTGAAAAGTTAAAGCAGGGCTCAGAGGGTGTCTTGTACTGGATGTCAAGAGACCAAAGAGTACAAGGTAAACAAACAAACAAACAAACAAAAATCAAAATAAAGTAAGAGAACATTTTGACTTAAAATTTTCTCAGTGTCTCTGATGGCAACTTCATGGCAACAACCTGTGTTTTAGATAACTGGGCGCTGATCCACGCGCAGCAGCTTGCTGTGAAGGAGAGCCTTCCTCTGCATGTGTGCCTCTGCCTGGTTGTCCCAAAATCAGAGCTGTCCACACTGAGACATTACAGCTTTATGCTCAAAGGTCTGGAAGAAGTTGAAAAGGTACTAACTTAATTATCTTTGAATGCACTGACTAAAGCCATAAATTCCAGTGATGCATTACTTCAGTTTGTCTATATTCATTTGATTTACAAGGGAGTAATGAATTACAGTACAATCTGTATAATCAGATGATCAAGTAATACCACCAAACAAAAGTGAAGTTAAAAGAGTGTAAACACTTCTGGTTTTAAGTATGTAACTACCAGAATCAAGATCTGGTAACTTGAGATGGACATTTGCCATTTTTTCAAATGGTTTGAAGATATAACCAAGACTTAGGGAAACTGTTCTGAAGCTTTATAGACAAAATAATAAATTTATTAATAATGGATTATAGAAATATTTTTAGTTCTAGTTAAATCAGGAGTAAAATAATCAATAGAATAGCTTGGCACCCTCTCTTGTTTCCACACTGAGTATTTGTGTAGGTATGGATAATAATAGATGCACTGCAGAAATTACTTTTGCACTTTCTTCAGTGGTTAGCGATCCAGGCTGCTGAA